GTGACCAGGAAATTATGAGAATGGTCCAGGTTGGTCAGTAAAGGATCTTGTACACAGTGGAAGGATACTTCAGCAGGCACTGCTGAGGAATGATCACACACAAACCAAAGTTCCACGTTCATGCCTCAAGGCACTGACATCTTCAACCAACTACTTTCCCCCAGAGTTACCTGGGCCTTCCCTTCTTTCTCTTAAGTTGCCCATACTATGAGGATGGCAGTCCTGCAGGATCTCTGTTAGCTGAGAAGCGTTTTCCAGTGGGGGACTGAAATCTCACAAAAGTGCATTTATGGTCAATATTATAAATGTGTTAGACCTGTCAGAAGTCATGCGTATAAAATGCACCATGCAAACTGAGACAAGAAAGTCTTTGTTCTTAGATGGGGTAAAAATTTCACATTTTAAATCAAGATAGAAAAGAAAACACAAAAGATAATCTGTGCTGGAATAATTGCCAGAGTTGTTCACTATTTCTGATTCTATTTCTGGACACTTGTCAACTGATATGGAGGTAATTGGAGCCATGTGATTTGCTTTAGTCATTGAAATGTGAGCGACATGACACATGGCACTTCCAGATGGGAACCAGGGCACAAGTCAACATGTTCCTTTTCCTCTGCTTCCACAATCATGGAGGATGAGCCTACTTTGGCCTGGATCCCTGAGTGAGGACAATGAAGAGAAGTGCCCCAGCTGATACACATGGATATGTTGCACCTTTGTCTTAAGCCACAGTGATTGAGAGGGATGTGTGTTACTGCAGCTTATCCTGGTCTCTCCTGACTGATTTTTGTGAGCAGTCTGACAATTGTCCATCACCTTGCAGAGAAATCACACCCAGGTATGCCGTGCCCCTCTACCATCAAGCATGTAGATTATTAGGGTGACCTTGGTCTTGCAAGACAGACCTGGTCTGTCACATACAAGATCATCAATCATCAAAATTTTGGCTAGGAGGACACAGGCAAAAGGGGTTTTATAGAATGCACCCTATTAAGGGAAAGGGGTGGTACCGAGCAAGAAAGGGGGCACAGAGGCTGCATAAGGTTAGGGGTGACCTGAAATAATAGAAGGAATTGACCCAAATTCTCTGCCCACATTTGACAAGGAAAAACAAGGAGATAAGTGGCCACACACCTAGTTCAGGCATAGTAGAAATTGGCAGGCATGTGACCAAAGGTCATGGCCCTTCTTTTCAATTCTTTTAAGTTGCACAAAGGATAGACGTGATCTAGGATTGGTTTGGAGGCACATGAACAGATCAAATTTTGCCTATTTGTTGTAGTCAGCTTTTCCATCACTGTGACTAATAGACCTGACAAAAACAATTAGAGGAGGAAAAGTTTATTTGGGGGCTCATGGTTTCAAAGGTCTCAGTCCATAAAAGGCTGGCCTCCATTCCTTGGGGCTCGAGGTGAGGCAGAACATCATGGCGGAAGAGTGTGGTGAAGGAAAGCAGCTCAGGACATGATGATCAGGAAGCACAGAGAGCTCTGCTCAATAAGCACAAAATATAAACCCCAAAGGCATGCCCTCAGGGACCCACCTCTTCCAGCCACACCCTACCTGCCTGAAGTTATCACCCAGCTAATCCCTCTCAGGGGATTAATGCACTGATTGGGTTAAGGCTCTCAGAACATAATCATTTCACCTCTAAACTTTCTTTCATTGTCTCACGCGTGAACTTTTGGGGGAACACCTCATCTCTAAACCATAACACCTGTCTTCAGCTGTCTGGTAGGAAAAAGCCAAATGCCACATTCCAGAATGTCAGGGTGCCTAGATGGTCTTTGGCCTCCTTGGTGAGCAAACCTGTGGTCTTGCAGGTCATTCAGAACTTGGGTATAAACGGCAGATGGCCAGCCTAGCTATCTCTGTTTATTCTTTTCATTTTTGTAGGATGGTGCCAGCAGCTTCCCACCTGTCTTGGATCCCTTTGGGAACTGACCTGGGGCCCCCTCCCTGTCAGTACCACAGGGGTCCTGAAAAGATGGCTGGTTCTAGCAGCAGTCACTTCTCTGCTTCTCCACTGAAGATCCCCAGGGTCTTCCCTAAGAGTCAGCATTTGGCTGGAGCCTCATGGTTAGAAACAAATAGAACAGATCTATCTTGTACTTCTCCCTGGCTCTTGGTCCTAAGGTCTTGGAGAAAGCAAAGGATGACAGAATGAGGTAGTTACAGGTGAGCTCAGGCCTGCCCCCTTCCTATGCTAAGCTGGGTCTCTCTGCTGGGTCAACCCCAAATCTTCCAAGTAGGTCCTACAGAGGCCAGTGCCTTCTTTATTTCTCTTCACAGTCCATGAAGACTGTGATAGGTCTCTGCAAAGTAGTGACTTTTAACAGGACCTATAATCGCTCAGAGTAAAAAATGTGCACACTGTTGATTCAGTCCCTAAGCTGCACGCAGGGAGAAGAATGCTGTTCTGGAGCCTCAAGGAAAGCAGCCAGGGAATGCACAGAGCTGCAGGCCCAGAGTCTGAAATCTAAGGGTGACTCCTATTCTGCCTGTCCCAGCTGGGGGTCCCCAGCAAGTCAGTGAACTCCTGATCCTGAATCTACACTTGGATATGGGAACAATGATGTCTGCATCTAGGCTGTGGTATAACATATGACAGGTCTGGGACAGTGTCTGGCATGTGATAAGCATGCAGCAAATCAACTGTCCTCTGCTGAAGCCGCAGAGGGACTGGGATGGGGAAGGGTCTAGCACTTAGACCCTTTCCCAGGGACACTCACCTTGAGAAAAGGTTGAAGAAGGGTTTTACAAGGGAAATTATCTTCTGTTTGCTCACTGAGGACAAGGGCCCAGAGTGTGGCAAAAGGGATTTAGAGAAGGATCTCAAGTGGGTGATGGCAGAGGTCATTTCTGGGTGCATGGAGAGAGCAAAAGGAGAAGATGCCAGCCACACAGGAAAACATCCAGGCTAGCTGTCAATGTCCATCTTGATCAGCAACCAGACCAGCAGCCTCAGCATGGATGTGACCCATTGTGACATGGACCGTACAAACCTCACTGAGGTCTACTTCCCACCTGTATCCCAGCCTAGGGTCTGGTGATCTGGATTAGGGCCACAGCACCCATTCTCAGCAGCCAGAAGCCGTGGAATAGGCTTGTCCCCAGTTCTGCCTCCAAAACTCGGCAGCAACATTCCCATTACTCCAGTGCTAGCCTACGGGCAAGAGATCAGGATGAGGGTAGAGGGTCCCATGGACCAGTTGCATGGGTAGTAGGGAGAATCACAGAGGATGCACACAGTGTAGGCAAAGGCCAAGTGGACTGGGTATCTGCACACATGCACACACCACCTAGGCCAGTAATCAGACTTCCTGGGGTCAGAGTGAGAGCACTCAGGCCAGGAAAAATGAGGAAACCCCCTAGAAAACCTTTCCATCACAGGGAGCCGCCCAAAGAAAGAGATAACAGCTGTGAGGTTTACCCATTTTTATTTTTTATAAAACAAGCTACAAATAGTTTCCCTCCCACCCTCCCTCCCTCACAAAGGAAAACCATGCAACACGGCCTGTGCACAAATGTGAGAGAGAAGGTGGCTGGGAAGAGTCTGCATTCCTACAAGGAGGCGCCTTCTCCGTGAGTGCATGCTTCCTCCAGCCAGCAAATGAGGCTGGGGTCTCCTGCAAGGTCCATCCAGCTCCAGCATGCTGTTTTCTGGTTGAGGTTGTAGGAGAGGGCTTCTGTTTCACTTTACCAGGTCAGGACAGGGCCACTGGCTGTCCCCGAGACAACCTCTATGACTTTCTTCAGTACAGCAAGAACTTTCTCTAGCCTGAGACCCCATCAGATCCAGTCCCAAGAGGCCACACTCCTCCACTAGGGAGTGCTTTGGGGGTCAATGCCTTCCGGACCCAAAATGGAAAATAGTTTGCCAAGACAGGTGCACTTATGGAATGGAATACAAGACAGATCCACCCAGGATGAAATACAAAATGAGGCCAGATGGCCAAGAGCAATTGGACGGGGGCACCAGTCCTGGGCTACGGTATGTGACAGCCCTCACTGTCACCACATTTGCCCATGGGAAGAGGTGCCAAGTATCCCTTGCAGCTCTGAGGGCACATCAACTGGGCAGAGGAAGCTGCACATCTGCCCCAAGGGCTGGGAAGCCCATCTGGAATCCTGGTGGCATTCTGGAAAGGTATACCTGGATTCCCATAACTGGTCATTGCTCCTGCCCTTCTGGGCAAAACAGAAGTTGAACACCCAAGATCTGCTTTACTTCTGGAAATGACTTATGGGCCTGGGAGCTTGTGATAATCGCTGAGGACCACAGTGGGAGGAGAGAGGAGGTAAAAACGCAAAGTGACCTCAAGGATGAGAGCCACGCTCGGGAGCCTCATCTGCGCGTGGCAGGAGAGCGGGCACCCCATTGCAGGGCAGGCTTTCTGTCTTCTTCCCTGGGTTTCTCAGGTATCATACTAAATAAAAGGCCCAGCGGTACATCCTTTTCTTCTTCACCTCCCTCCTCATGCACTACACAGAGTAGGTGCTAAATCCATATGGAATGTTTAAACTGACGTAATGCAAGTCCTCAGAGGATAATTTGCTCAGTGAATCACTAAGATACCAGGGTGCCCATTGATCCTGGGCTCCCTGGGGATCTGGTTAGCAGGAACACTTGGGCCATGTGAGAACTGGGGCCTGTGATGACTATTCACATCATCTGGACTTCCCTCCTCTCCAGGGGCGATGCCTGTCTCTCCAACTCAGCCTCCCTTGAGGAGGCCAAGGGCCCGGTGACTTGCCAAGTTTGGCAGCTAATGGCATGGGGCAGTACATTCCTCCCACCTGATGAGAGCCAGTGGCATTTGCAAAGCAAGTGCAGAGCTCTTGTCCACGGACACACAAGGGCCGGCCTCCATGGAATCTGGGTTGGAAGAAGACAGAGTCCTAGGTTCTAGATAGGTGGACTGAAAGTCCAGAGCACCCACAACTGGGAGAAGGAGGGGAAGGAATCAACAGCAATGCCAACACCTGTACAAAAGAACTATACAATTTACATATATATTTATATACAGTATATAAATCTCTTTCTTCTCAGTCCCAACAACACCCCTCCCCCCAGTAACCTAAAAGTTGTCAGTAGCAGATCCAAAAACTTACGATGAGAGAGAGAGAGAATCAAGTCTTTCTTCCCTTTCCTCTTCCCACTTGGTATTAGATATTGGTTGTTTACAGATGAAACCAGAAACAAAACACGCAAAGAAGAGTTATTAAAAGTGCAAACATGGTAGGCACCACTTATGTTACACGGGATGTTGCTGGCCACGGACCGCGCTGAAGGTTAGTTAGGTGTCTGGTGGTCCATCTTGCCTCCTTGGACTTTCCACCGCCCTTGATCTTCTGCTCCTCAGACAAGGCGTCCTACTGGGAGGGGGAAAGGAGAATGCAAAACAGAAGAGGGGGAGAAAAATTAAAAAATTAGAGTGGGATGTCTGAGAAATTCAGCTACGTCTATCAATTTCCCCCACTAGGGTAGCTCCTTCCACCCGCTGTTGGAGATGGACTGTGGGTGACACAGGTGGCTTAGACTTGCAGATAAGCAGTTTGACAGCCCATCCTTTGCCACTCTGAGGCGGCCCAGGTCACCTAGAATGGGTCCAGCACTCCAGAGACCTTGGCTTTGCCTGGGGAGCAAAGGCTGGGGGTGCTCTCTGCAGGCATCATACCACCCCCAGAGGCCAGCCTGTCAGCCTGGGGCTGGGGAGGAGATGGCACGTGATTTATCCTCTTAGCACTGACCATCTTTTTTTTTTTTTTTAAAGAATTTTAATATTTATTTATTTATTTTTTTTAGTTTTTGGCAGACACAACATCTTTGTTTTTGTATGTGGTGCTGAGGATCGAAACTGGGCCGCACGCATGCCAGATGAGCATGCTACCGCTTGAGCCACATCCCTAGCAAAAATTTTGAGAAGGAAGCCCAAGTCACTGGGCCACTGGTGTCACCCCTGCTGTGCCATCAGCGCTTCCTGGGGGGATCCACAGAGAAAGTAGAAAGCTCAGAAAGGAGGAGACTTACTGAATGGGTTTGAGCCTGCTGGTTTCCCCTGGGGGAAGCTTTCAAGGCTACCTGCAACAAATAGAAACACAGGACACTGGAGTGGCCTTGACCCCGAGAACTGGGTCAACTTCTATACTGGGTCCTTGCCCTCTATGACCTCAAATGAAGGATGAACTTGGGATACAGCCAGATATTGTCTGGCTGCACTTCCTGTTCTGTGGAAGCCTATGGCCACATGCTGCCTAGGTGAACCCATTGCTGGTCAGCACCTTTAACCAAAGTCACTTTTTCCCTAAGGCCAAGGCCCTGAGGGGCCCCCTTTGGAGCCTCCTCAGCTATTAGCCCAGAAGGGTTTTTGTGTTAGTGAATGTTTTTGTGTCATAACCTCCTTGATCTTACTTTCCAGATCACTGGAATGTCAGAGACAGAAGGAATCCTGGTCTTTCCCTTGACACATCCGGAGGCAGAAGCTCAGAGTGGTTGAGTGGTTTATATGAGTCCAAGGCCTGTTCTGCTCACATGCACTCTTCCCCCTAGGTGCCAAGCAGCTCTGGAGACAGGCTGTGCCTACTCCTGCAGGACCCTGGTCTCCCCAAAGAGAAGCAGGGAGCTGGGGAAGCACACGAGGTGCTGAGCCATGCTGAGTGGCCCTACGCACGCCCCCGAATGCCTCTGGATCTGCCCAGAGAATGGAAATTAGGACCACAGATGTGCTGTTTCTGTCCGGCCTCCTTCACAGGATTGCCCTCAGGGTTGACTGAATTCTTAGGGGAGAAAGTGTTTGGGGCAATGTACAGTGCTGTAGAATCTAAGCCCAGCTGTGGGTCACGTGACCCCATAGCTCGATGTCCCCAACATTCCTCAAGACCTGAGAAAGAGACAAAGCACAGGGTAAAGGGGTGGGCACCATGTACACACTGGCATATCCAATGTAGCAGGAGAGGACATCAACAGAAATATACAGGGACAGGCCCAAGGCAGATGGGTGGGAAGGGGAGAGCCAGGCTGCCTGGCCTTAGATCCCGTCCTTCCTCTGCTCCAGCGGCTGCTCCTCTCAGTGGTGAACAGAAAGATCCACACACAGAGAGGAGGCCAACAGCAGTCCTGCACCAACCGAGCTGAGACTCAAGACACACAACGTACAGTCAGAAATGTGCCATTGAATCCTCAGAGCAACTTTAAATGATGAGATAAAATTATCCCCACTTTCTGATGATAAAACTGAGACCTGGAGTTGCCAAGTAACTACCCAGGATGGCACAGCTTTCAGGTAAGAAAAGCAAACTCAGACCTGGATCTCAGCCTCTGGCACCATGCTCTGGCCCACCAGGCAGGGCAGGGGAGGGGAAAGGCTGAGCCCAGGGGCAGGTGACAACCTCAGACAATTTAAAGAAAGAGTTGACATTACTGGAACATGGAGGCACTAGTTTTCCTTCTCTTTGCTCACAGAATGGTGACAATAATCCTGGTGAAAATGTTCCATCATTTGGAAAAGGCCAAGACAGAGTTCCAGCACTCAGAATGTCTGGCTTCTTCATGCTGGGCCGAGAATTCAGCTCTTTAATCAGAGATCTGGTTGGTGAAAATAGCCATGTTCAGGGGACATTTCCAAAAGTCCCTCAGACCCCAAAGTATACTTGTTCCCAAGCCCAGCATCTGGTCCCCACCCCTCTTGTACCCACTCCTAGCATGCAAGCCCCTTTTGTCCCACCAGAGGGCACCACATGACACCATATGACAGGGGCAGGGGCTCCATTCCCTGGGATGGCTACAAACTATGGACCCAAGTGGCTTTTCTTCCACCCACAAGAACAGCAGGACAGGAGAAGCTGGCTGCTGCGTCTTGAGCCCCTAGGTGGGCTCCTCTAGTACTTCTACTCTCTTTTGTGTGTTCACCATGTACCAGGTGCCGTGCTGTTCCTCACATGCATTAACTTGTTATATCCTCACACCAAATCCATAAGGAGGACACTACTGTCTCCATTTTGCACACGAGGAAACTGAGGCTTAGAGAGTTTAGGTGACTTGCCAGAGATTACAGAGCTAGTTAAGTGGCAGAGCTGGGATTAAGAGCCAGACCTCCACTCCTCTCCTAGGCCTAAACAGTCATCCATCCTCCTGTCTCCCTAGTGAAGTGAGGAAGCAGAAAGATACATTGAGCCATGACAGCTGCAACCCAAAGCACCCTAAAGGCCTCTGTGGGCATAGCTGTGAGGATGACTTGAAATTAAAACCCATCCCTGACTGAATCGGACCAGCAGTCCCCTAAATACTGTGTTGTGGCCCAGAGTCTTCCCCGAATGTTCCTTCAGGTGCTAGGCATCAACAGGGACTAGGAGACGTCTGGTGCCTGGACTACCTTCTGAGGGTCCCCTGAGCTCTGGGCACCACATCAGGCCTTCTCTTGGCTTCTTCTCTGGTTGCACAGAACAGAACTCCCAGCAAGGGAAGGAGACCAAGAACAGAATCAGTCAACCTGGAGGTGCTCATGGGTCGACCTGGGGTACCACTAGTGCTGGACTTCTGCCTGTGCTGGACGGGGTCTTTCCAGCACTGGACTTCTGCCTGTGCTCTGTGAAATGAGCAGATTCTAAAGATATCTGAGCACAACACTGTCACAAGGATCAACCCCCTCTCCATCCATCCATTCATTTGACAAGGATTTAAGGAATTGCTACTAGTTGTCATAGGCTAGAGGTCAGGAATAGAAAGGACAAGAGTCCATAGCCACAAGGAAGGAATCATAAAAGTAAATGGCAACCCAGTGTGTTAAGTACTATCGGCAGAGGCAAGAATCTTATGAAGAAGAATATTAATATTGACCTTTTATTCTGTTCCTTCAATGTCTTGGGCCCTGTGATACATGCTCTCACTTTGTCCCATTTAATGAGCACAACAGCCCTAAGAGGTAGATATTATCATTATTCCCATTTTACAGATGAAGAAACCAAAAGCAAAATGGTGGATTAATATATATTTGATAAAAGAACTGGTCCATGGCAAAGGCAGGATTGGAAACTCTCATGTTGTATTGTGACGTGGAAAAATGGAGTACGGTGGAAACCAGAGAGCCATCATCATCAGATAGAATGTGCCCAGAGTGAGGATGTCACAGGCCAGTCGGCCTCAGAACCAGAGCCAGAGCCCAGCTATGGAGGAGCAGGTCCCAAGACTGGGCTTCCTGTGGTAACCCAGGCCACTTTTGGGGTTTACATTGACAACTGAGGAACAAGGAGCAGCTCTTTTGTCTTCTTATGCTAAACTTTCCCTAAGTCATCTCAGCTTTTCCATTTCCCAAAAGTCTGTATCCCCCAGATCTATCTTCAGTGCAGACCTTTCCCCTGCTCTATAGACCCACTCAGGCCTTAGGCGCATCCAACAGGATCTGTCCAAACCATACCCTCCTCCTACACCCACTTTCTCTGCCTTCCCTGTTGCCTATCTCAGTGAGCAGTCCCACCCTGTAGGTGCCCACACTGATTGTTGGCCTTGTGTCCACTCAGTCACCAGTCCACCCACTTCTCTTCACCCGCCCCCTGTGTTTTTCATAACGAGGTTCTCCATCACTTCTTGCCCAGACCATGCCACACCTCCTCTTGGGTGACCCTGCCTTTCTTATCTCCAATCCATTTCCCACAGTGCAGCCAGAATAAAATTTTAAAGCAAAACTAATTCTGTAATTTCTCTGACTGAACCTCTTCAATAGTGCTGTGGTTTAGATGCGAGACAAAAAGCTCATGTCTGAGACAATGCAAGAAGGTTTAAAGGAGAAATGATGGGTTACGAGAGTCCTAATACTCTCAGTGGATTGATCCTCTGATGGGATTAACTGGGTGGTGGCTGAAGGTGGGTAGGGTGTGGCTGGAGGAGGTAGGTTCCTGGAGGCATGGCTTTGGGTTATAGATTTTATATCTGGTGAGTGGAGTCTCTCTCTGCTTCCTTATCATGTGAGCTGTTTCCCTCTACCATACTCTTCTACCATAATGCTGAGCCTCATCTCAAGCCCTGAGGAATGGAGTCAGCCTTCTATGGACTGAGACCTCTGAAACCCGGAGCCACCAAATAAATTTTTCCTACTCTAAAGTTGTTCTTGTCAGGTCTTTTAGTCACAGCAGTGAAAAAGCTGACTAAAACAAACATCTTCCCACTACCCTTATAGCATCTTTCCTGTGGATGAACGAACTCTCCAAACTACCTTGCCTCTTGTCTCCACTCCCTACAGTTGGTATCGTCTAATGGACTGAGTTCCAGCAAATGAAATATGAGAAGAAATGTATATGTCATTTCCAGGACTATCCCATGAAACTTTCACATGCACTGTTCCATGTTTACTATATCTGGTTGACTGGGAATAGAGGTGACCCCCAGGGTGACCTTGGAAGCTACATGATAAAGATAGATACCAAAGTGACCCCAAGAGTCACTCTCAGCCTGGACTATAGAGTGATTACATGAAGCAATCCCCACTCTAATCCCTCCTCCTACCACCCCCCCCAACACACACACACACACACACACACACACACACACCCCACAACTCTGAACCATGCTTCACAAGACACGGACGGGCGGACAGACAAACAGACACACACACACACACACACACACACACACACACACAAAATTTGGAACCATGCTTCTCAAGACAAAACATTTTCTAAGTGAACCACATGACATGTGGGCGTGCCTACTTGTTACTGCAGCCTGACCCACTCTAATACATTCTCAAAGCACTTACCACAATACACATGAATACGTAATATCTGTCTCCTCAGTAGACTATGTCAGGTTAGGGACCTAATTAGTCAATTCCACCCCTGTATCAATCATCTAGCATGAAGCAAAGGATAAAACAGCTTTGTTCAATAAATGAATATCTGGGGTCCCTTGGGGTCCCTTGTCTGCCTACAGCAAGAACCAGAAGACTAGGAGACGAGGGGAGAGCACTCACCTTCTTTGCTGACACCCAGGCAACCCTTCAACTCAGGCAGTGAGATAACCTTGTCCTTGTTCAGGTCACAGTAGTCGGTGAAACGCCGGGCGCATTTCTTGGGCTTGGCTTTCTTCTTCACGTAGCGCTTGAAGGGCTTCATCTCCCGCTTGTTGATGTCATTGCTGCTGTTGCTGTCCAGCTGACTGAAGTACCAGTGCACCACTCGCTCCTCCAGGGTATGGCTGGGGTCTGGCTCTGAGAACCTGGGCCATGGACACACCCCACCCCAGAGAACACCAGTCAGGATCTTGTAGGAACACCAACCCCACCGTAGTTTTCTCCAAGATGGCCAGAAGCCAGGGCGCTTGCTGTGGTTTGAGTGTGCTTTGTCCCCGCCAAAACTCAGGTTGAAATTGGTTACCAATGTAGCTGTGTTGGGGGATAAAGGAGGGACCTTTAAAACCTGGAAGTGGGACCTTAAGAGCTCAAGGGACTGGATTAGTTCTTGTGGGAATGGGTTAGTTCTCCCGAGGGTGGGCTGTTCTATGCTTTATAACATGGGCCTGCTTCCATTAAGCTTTCCCCCACGAGTTGAAGTTGTATGAGGCCCTCACTAGAAGCCCAGAAGGTGCTAGCACCATGTTCTCGAACTTCCAGAGCCGTGACCAAAATAAATCTGTTTCTTTATAAATTACCCAGTCTCAGGTATTATGTTATAGCATCAGATGGGCTGCCACAATCAGGTAGCCATGGCTCCTCCAAACCAAAGATCTCCCAGGGCTTCTCTTTCTAGGGCAGAATCAAGTCATCCTCTCCAGCTTGAGTTTCCAGAATGGACAATTCTTTTTCTAGGAGTCCCCAGGTAATAAGGTCCCCTCAACACATGAATCCACTCCACCCTTTACTATAGCTAGGATTTTCCTTATACGAGATGGATGCTCAAGACAAATTGGCTGGATTGATTCACCCAGCTAGGATACAAATTGTTCTCCTCCTGTTAGAAAAAAATGTTCTTCTCACATAAATTTTCCTGCTCTGACGTATGCAACTATGGGAACTGTTCCTCTGAGTATCCACCCACACCCAGTGTCAGGCCAGGTCTGAGAAGGTTCCCAAAGAGGGAGGTATATCCCTAGCCTCAAGCTGCTCACTGTGTCCATGAGGCAGAGCCGAAATATGAAAATAAGCTGCAACAATTCAATGCCAAGTGTCCTGTTCCCATGGTCCATCACAGCTGAGTAGCAAGCACAACAGGAATTGAGACAAGGAGGCAAGGGGTAGAAACACAGGGACTCTAAAACCGGTGTCTCCCACAGTTGCTGGGGTGAGTCTCTGGTTGGTCAGGAGGTCTGAGACCTCGTGTTAACCAGCATTTCCAGGTGATTCTGCTGAGGAATAGGACAGGGTGACCAGGACACATCCTAGTATCCAAATGCACAGTAATGACCACATCTTGCACAGCCCACATATCTCTGGTAACCGTGAAGTTACAAGGCCTGTGTCTGTGTGTAACTATATGCAATAGTCTACCCTTCTATTTTGTTTATTTATTCATACCCCCATCTTTTCCCCCAAAAGGAGTCAGGGTGAAAACAAATATTTATAATTTTTAAAACCAATGATGGATCTACTCCAGAGGGGTTGGCTGGAGTCTCTCACCAGAAGAACAGAGACAGACCAGTACCCTGGGTCCCGTTTCCAGAGCTCGACACTGAGTTAATGTAGGCTGTCCTGTGTTCAGATGCCCGAGTAACTTGCCCTTGGAAAGGGGAATAAGGCTGAAGTTGAGAAATCCCTACACCCAAAATACTTAGTGTTCAGGGCACTGGAACACTATGTGATGGAGGGTTCACCGGGATCCCAAACCACAGGATCAGGAACTTCCAGTGACTCTGAAGCTGTAGATGGTAAGAAAAAGTGTTCAAGACACTTGCTGATGCTCTCTCCTCTCTGGGGCTTGTCAGTGTTTCCAGAAGGGAAGGGATCATTTCTGATTACTCTCATGTGAATCATCCAGCAAATCAAAATCACTCCTGCAAACACACACACACACACACACACACACACACACACACACACACACACCTCCCAAGTGACCTCAAAGTTCAAGGAAAATGCAGTTTCTTTGTGGGAGGGGGCAGCTCGTCATTCCTGGTAGATGCCCATTCCTGCTTCCTACTTAGGTGGATTTTGTCCTTGGGCAGGTCCTCTTGGGCATCCTGGTCTGATTCCAAGAGATCACAATTAACAATCTGCTGGCAGGACTTCACCTTGACATTGAGCTTAACCCAGGGTGTACCTGGGGAGGTGTGAGGAAGCCATGCAGAGCAGCCACCACCCTTGACTCTTGGGGACTCTGCTATGGCTGTCATGGAAACCGGATGCGGGAGGTCTTTGAAGCAGGTATAAAATTATTCAATACAAAACTCAAAGTTTTTTTTTTTTCTGCCAACATTGTGGAGTTTTTATTCTTCCTCTACATGCCCGCAATATGTACGCTCAAGATGGCCCCTGCAGTCTGCACCAGTGAGCAGGCAGAAAATTCTCTGTGAGGATACTCGGGGTGCAGGAATGGGAACACCCTACCTGCCCGGGTCTCCCCAGTGCCAAGGAGGATTCAGGCTGTGGAGGGCACTGTGGGACCCCTGAGGAAGGCCCTCTCAGCAGCAGGCAGTCAGGACCTTCCCCCTCGGTCCCTCCTGCCAGGGAGCCATGAGAGCCCAAGGCAACAGCAGCTCTTCCTTTAACCTTTAGGCTCGGCATAGCGTAATGTCTACCTAGAGGCTGGAATAATAAAGCCTCAGTCGCTCAGACGGGAAGGGATGAGGTCATCCCACCCAGAGGCCCTGCCAGGGAAGGCTCGCTCCCTCCAACACATGTTCCTGGGCTCCCGCCTGTCCAATTTTCAGCAACCCCATTGATAGAGTCCCACCCCCACCCCCCACCTTCCTCCAGGCTGTCCTGCAGCAAGAAGCGGTTCTTCTTCCCAACCGCAGCCTCTAAGAGTTACCTTCCATGCCAGAGTGATCAGCTGGCCCTTCCTGCTTCCTGTCCTGTCCTCTTCCTGGGAGACTATGGTACTGCTCTCCTCCCGCCCATCAGGAGCAGCCTGGGTGATTGCTGAGCAGCCCTGATGTCCCACTCTGGCCTACACCACCCATCCCGTGCGGGGCCCCTGACTGTGCGGCTAGGCTTAGATAGGCAGGGAGCGCTTCCTCAGGAGAGGCCCTCAGTGGCCCTGCCAAGCCATGACCCCATGGTCTGCCCTATGGGGCCTGAGGGTCCTGTCTCCATCCCCTTCCTTCCAGGCTAGCATGAGGCTCTGCTTCTGAACCCATTTGACCACCAGGCCCTCTCCTCCAGCAACAGAGCCCTCAGTCTACCTGTGAGGCTGGGTGGTGTTAGTGTCACACTTGGGAACCCAACACTTAGGTCAGGTCAAAGTTCAAGTACTTTATACCAAGAACTTCTTAGCTTTGGGTCCATGTGGGGATCAGGGGCCCATCTACGAATCTAAACAAAGCTATATATAGGCCTGTTTCTAGAAAAATGCACCCCCCCCCAGAGAAGTCTGCAGATTTTAGAGGATTCATGGATTCCCCAATGCCCATCCAAAGTCCATGGGCTTTGTAAAGAACCCTTGGTCTAGAGGAATGGAAATTCCAGCCATGGCTCCAAAAGAATACGTAAGCAGGTCTCTTCAGGAGAAAGATGGAAACAAAAGACAGTACCTGGGAGGGGTTTGAACAAAAACATTTTTAAAAAAAGAAAAGTAAAGGAAACTACTAAAGGCATCTGATTTAGAACTGTAAATCAAGTTCTGGCTTGACAATAGACGTAAGTCACAAACAAGGTTGACAGCAGGGAACCTACTATAGTTTATACAAGCTCCCACTAAGACTGAAATCTGTCAAGAATCCTGCCTCTGCTAACCTACCAGATTCTGAGATTTTTCCTGGACAAGGGCTGGATAAGGATGGGGTGGAAAGATCTCCCTAGATTCTCCAGAGTCTTTCAAGTCCATCATAGACCGTCCATCATAGACTCCCCACCATTTATACCCACTGATCAACCTACCTTTTTCAATTTTCTGGAAGTATCCTTCTAAAACATCTGCAGTGGACACTTGCAGCTTTAGGTTGACACTGGCATTGGGTTAACAAAACGTGCAAGTTTCTTTGGCTACGGTGTGGAAAATACACCTAAATCATACCAAATTTCAGATTTGGGAAGACCGTGGTTCAGGGCAACACCAGGGTCCACAGCCCCTGGGATGTTTTAGTGACTCCTAAAAGGGATGGGGTAACTCACTTGAGCCAGGTCCCTCCCTGAATAGCCCCACTGAGCCTTCTCCCACTTACGGGGTGGCAGAAGCTGCACTGTCTCCCGCAGCACTTTCAGTTTTGTTTCTGCAGCCTCAGCCCTGCCAGGCCTTGGCTGCAACGCACAACTGAGGAGCCAGCCCCATTTACCACAACCTGCTCTGGCCAAGATCTGGGGCCCAGTTCTGCTGCCCTAAGCAATTTTCGAGAAGGTAAGGCAGAACGGCCAGGAGGCCCAGGCCAAGCCAAGCAGACCAACTGAGCCCCATCTGGAGTTGGGTCCAGGCCCCACCAGCTGTGCGGGTGGGGCTGGGAAATGCCAAGTCAGCCACATTCCAGCCTCTTCCTTGCAGAAGCCATCAACAGGCAGCTGAACTGGCAGGGAGGATGAAGCCCAATAGAAGCAGTCTCTTCTTAGGGGGCCTTGGAGGGCCAGCAGGCTCATGTAGCCTGTCTCTGCTCCTCTCCAGGTTGACTATGCCTGGGTGGGGTAGAGCAAGGGTGGGTTCCCCTGCCCCAGGACACTGTGCCACCTGGGATCTCAGAAGTCTTCCTTTGGGACTAATAAAGGTTCAAGGGTGCCAAGGGAAGGTTGTTTAAAGGAGGGAGCTTTGCCTTCTGGAGTCCTAGTGGGGAGGGGTGGGTGGCAAGGGACTCACTCAGTCATTCAACAAGTGTTCATTGAGGATGGATGTCATCCAATGATATCTGTGGGCGCCCCTTCCCATGCACCAGCCACAGAAGTTTCCCCAAACACTCCATTCTACTTGGTCTATTTTTAAATGCGGGCGGCGCTGCTTTTCACCACTGAATCAGGCTAGGAGGCCAGAAAAGCAAGCTGACACCTCCCTCTCTCCCACTCCCTGTATCCACTGAGTCTTGAATGTTCTCGGTTTCGTTGCAAAAGCTTTAGTTAGTCATGCCTCTCCCCCACCCCCAACAGTCCTACCCTCATAACTCTGTACTGACAACTGCTATAACCTTCCTGTCTCTTTTCTAACTCACTTCTAAATCCTGCTTGCAAAGCACCACTAGGATGATTATTCAAAAATGCCCATCTATTTTCATGGTCCCTGGCATGACTCACATAGCCCAGTACAACTAGGGCTCTGCCCAACTTCTGCAGCCTCATCTCCTGCCCATTCCACACGCTGCCTCCCAAATAACCATGCTGCTTTTTACAATTCCATGTATCCCCTGTCATTCATCTCTTGCTACACATATGGTCCCCTCTTCTGCGATGTCCTTACCCCTGGTCCATCCAGGCGAGAACATTTCCCACTTACAAATGAGAATGTGGCTCAAATGCCACTTCCTATGTTTAGCCAAAATCACCATGACAGGTGGTAGCTGGGGGACAAGATGTCCTTTTTTCTACACTGCCCCAGTATCTTCCTGTCACTTCTTCCACTGTCTTCATCTGGGACTGTTTCCTGCTGGCCTCAGCTGGTGTCCAGTTTTAACTGCCAGACCCTGAGAGGATGCAGGAGGGACCAGATGTGGTTTCTTTAACCCCATGATTGCAACCCCAGCTCTGCCTAAATTCCAAATCCAAGGCCAAAACCCAGAAAGCAAATATTTCCTAATCTCTTAATCAGCCCTGTTCCAGATGTGCGTCTCAATCTCTACCTATCCCATGCTTCTCTCCTCTAGCAGAGGAGTGACTGACCAGGGTCTGTCTATAGAGCCCTGGTTACAAAGAAGGCCCACAGAGAACTGGATAGCTGCATCCAGTCTCACATTTCATCTTGCAGTAGTTGGTGGACCCTCAAGATCCATCCCTCCATCTGTCTTTCCAGCTGTTCATTCATTGACACATATTACTGAGCACCTACGAGCACTAGGCACTATTCTAAGTGCTAGGAATAGAGTGGGGTGGGGGGGGGACAGCAAACACTCCTCTCTAGAACTGCAGTTTTCTTTGGGTGGCGTGAGAGCCAGCAAAAAAAAAAAAAAAAAATCAGATAATGATAAGCACCAGGCTGAGAATGCCAAAGTGGTGTAGGGACAGACGATGACTGGACAGCTCCTTTGGACGGGGCAGTCTTCAGAAGGTGATGTTTAAATAGACACACAGGGGCCAGTCATGGGAAGGACAATCCCACTCTAGACTGAAGGTCTGCTTGACCTGCCAAAAGAAGTGAGGAGGCTAAAACCTAGTGGTAGGAGGGAAGTAGTCCTGGAGGAGGGCCAGAGGCAGCCAGACCATCCTGCAGGGCCAGTTCAGGTCAGAGTTAGGGCTTATGGTATATGTAATGGGAAGTTCTGGGAGGGCTTTAAGCCCAGAAACCTGTCACCCCTGGCCACCTACCTCCGTATACAACTGCTTCTCCCTGCCTTCCTTGATTTCTAAACTACTTCTTGGTCCATCTTGTTTGCCTGTTGATTAAAAGTCCAGCCTCAAGGTCACACAACTAGCAAAAGCAATTCAAACCTTTCTCGTGCCTATCGAAACCAAGCATAGTTAAGCTGACATGAGCTTCAAATGAAAAATGTGTTTTGGAAAGTTTTTAATTTTTTTTTTAACTTTTCCCAACTCTAAATTACACTTGAAAGTGGAGATAATTAAAAAAAAAAAAAGAAAGAAAGAAAAAGAAGAATCCTGTCTCTAAGGATCCACTGGTATTAAAACATTATATGTTTCAGTTTTTATTGTCTTTAAAAATCCCTTCTACCTGTAATTCGAGGGTAAGACACCAATTCCCATTTGCCCTGTATTCCCTTTCCTGTGACCAAGACCATCAGTGCCCAAGGGCTGTGGCTTCTGGGGAGGCCAACGGGGCAGAGCTTGAAGTCTTGTCTTAAAGCAGACCTGCTGGACAGTACCCCAGGCTGCTGGTCAGAGCCAGCAGCCAGCAGAGAACTAATGGGCGGGACCACCCAGACCTGGGAGAGTTTAAGCTCATGACTGCCCTTTTTTTTCCTTTCTTTTTTTTTTCTTCTCTCTTCTAATGAACATAAATATAATAGCCCCCTTATGTGCAGGGGATGCATCCCAAGCACCGTAGGGGACCCCTGAAACCACAGAGAGTAAGGAGCCCTAGACTAGGTGTTTGTTTGTTTGTTTAACATACACATCTACAATAAAGTCTAATTTATATATTAGGCACAGTGAGAGATTAGCAAACTAAAAATAAAATAGAACATGCATGACAGTATACTGTGAGAAAAGTTATTTAAAACTTATGAATAGTCTATCGCTGGAACTTCCCATTTAATATTCACGTTGGAGCTGGTAATTGAAAACCTAGAAAGTGAAACCACAGATAAGAGAGGCTACTATATCTCTTGCTTGTTTTTGCATGAAACAACAAGTGTACTTCCATACTTTAAACAGAAAACCTAAAGGCAGACAATACCGCCTTTTCAAAACTCACACCCCTCCCGCCTTCTTGGCAATCAGGGTGCGTCCTCTGAGTCTTAGATACTGAATTACTGAGCATGGGAGGCCTCGGGGAAGCGCCCATCTGTGGGCCTGTCAGATGCTGTCTCCGTGTTCTCAGATTCTGCTGTTCTCCTCCTAGGGGAGGCCTGGCCCACATCCCCAGGGTGAGTGGAGACAAAGCCACAGCCAGAGACCAGCTCAGAGCTCACAGGAGCACGGGGTGCCCCACAAGCACTTCCCAAGAGTGACAACCTGTGCATTTGCTTGTTCCCGCCTCCACTTTCCTCTTTATTTTTAAATTTTATTTTATCATAGAACACTTACCACAAGATCTGTCCTCTTAACAAAAATTTAAGTGCATAACTCAGTTCTGTTAACTAGAAGGACGATGCTATAAAGTGTATTCCTAGAATTAATTCATCTTGCTTGGCTGAAACTTGATACCCTTTGATTAAAATCTCCCCATTTCTCTCTCCCCATGGCCCTTGGCAAATACCATTCTACTCTTCTGACTCTGTAGGACTATTTCAGATGGCTCCTGTGAATGGGCTGCTTCTGTGACTTGCTTATTTCCCTTCGCATAATTTCCTCAATGTAACAGGATTTTTTTTAAAGACTAATTAATAGTCCAATCTATGCATACACCGCATTTTGTTTATTTGTTTGCCTCTGGGCAGCATTAGCTTGTTTGTGGCCATCATTTTGATACGTCATAAAATTGGGTATTCACGGCTGTCATCGGCTCCTTCAGGAGGCGGAACCATTGATGGCTATGCATGCAGTCCTCCATCTGTATTCTAAATACATCCTAAATATCCCTGCTCATCATCACTTCCATACATGCCCATTCCACAGGGCCTAAGGGCCTAGGCCTGTCCTCTAGTGTCAATCCTTACCATCCTAGCAGCTCCACTTCTGAGGAGAAGCTGGGAACCAGCTCCCATCCTTGATGGACCATGTAAGCTCAGAAGCAGGCTGCCAAGCCCATGGTACCTCTTCTGCTATTGTAAGGAGGCTCAACATCTCGGTTCTCCCTTCCTTTGCTACCCTCTGGCCCCTACTGTGCCTCCTGCTCTGGCTGCATAACTGGAAGTTTTACTTTGCACATCTCACAGGTCCTTTGGAATCTGGTTTCTTTCTTCATCTTCCATCTTACCCTGGTCACCCTTTGCTCCTCCTTTTCCAACTCCTCCTCCTCCTCCTCCTCCTCCACCACCACCATCACCTGGGGCCAGCCATCATGAACTGTAGACATATACTTTACTGGAGTCACAATATTCTTTTCCTGTTTCCTAGAATGGCTTTCTCCCTCCTTTGACTGGCTAAGTCCTACCTGTCCTTCAAAACAGCTCAGCAATCACCTCCTCCAGGAAGCCTGCTCTGACTCCTTCAGGCTGAGTTAGACAACCCTTCTCCACGTAGCACTTACCACATGGTTTGTACGCCTCTGTCTATGGTCGAGCATCCCTACCTGGCTGCATTCTTTGAGGGCAGGGACCTGCCTCCATGTTCCTGGAGACTTAGTCCCTATCCCAGGGTTGACCATGTCATCTGTGCTCAAAAAGGCCTTCAGTAAAAGCATGGATGTGTGTTCTGGTCTACTGACTCCGTGGGCCCACGGGGCGCCCCAGGGCTGCTGGTTAACTAGGCCTCCCGTCAGCACTGCCACAGCTACCATATTACCTCCTGGACCAAGTGGGATGAGGCCATGGGAGTAGCCAGTTCCACTGCCCAGAGTTCCCTGGAATGCAATGGATCCTGCCTTCTCGGAGAAAAACAAGGTCACAAAGTACTTTGTGCTCCTTCTCTGCCCTCCTGGAGCTCCCTGTTCTCCTCAGGAGTCCAGTACTCTTCCTGTCATTTAAGACTCTCACTCCTTGGCTTCCCCTTCGAGATTAAATAGCTAGAAGTTTCCAGACAACCCTGTAAACTCGATAACTAAAAGCCAGAGACGCACAGCTCAAAATAGGGATGATTGAAGGGCAGGGAAGATTTGGGGCAGAAAGTGGGAAAAGTCAGGGACATACGGTTTCAGGAAGAAGATAGGTTTCCAATCCCTTCTCTGCCCATCTTCCCACCCTTCCAGCCTCCCACGGCATCTGGAGAGTCCTAGGCCCCACACTCCCTATTGGGCCTGAGTCCTGCTCACATTCTCACCTCCCACCTCCAGTGGGTGCTGCTGAGTTAATGGCCTGAACCATGTCGGTGGTGAGGGCATCGAGGAGGCTGGTGATGAATTCCATTTTCTTCCCTTCTGGACAACCTAAAAGATAAAGTGAGATCTGAAGGCAGATGCCAGGTAAGTAATCAAGTAAAACAGCTTTCCCCACTACCATCCTTTCCCAAACTTTGTAAAGACCTTATTGTCCAGCCAAATCCACTTTGGGGATGTGTTTACTGCTCAGCTGATTCTCATAAACCTCCATCATTTACTTACAGTCCACAGGGACAATAATGCTTTCAATGATCACTCCATCACTAACCCAGGCACTGTGTTAAATTCTAGGGAGACAAAGCAAAGGATCTTCATGCTCATGGAACTCACAAAATACTGAGCTAATATAGTCAAGCCAATGGCCAGGCAGTCATTCCTAAAATAGTAAAAACGCTGCTCCAGGGGGTAAGGACCAGATGCTGTGGGAGCAGGAGGAGGAGAGAGAAGTCCTATGGGTCCTAGTTGACTTAAGTCCACCAATTGTTTTATCTATCCAAGAACCTCTTCCTTTTTCTCACTTTCCTCCTCAACCAGCTGAGATTCTATCATAGACTCACCTTGTAAATACTCCCCTCATATTTCTGCCAAACCCCAGTGCAGGTGGGGTATGCTCCCAGGTATGGCTGGGCCACATCAACACCCACTAGCAGAGGACTACTGGGAGAAACACCATCATGCAACTGCAGGGGTGGGAGTCCCTATAAGTGTTCACCAGCACCCAATGGGTCCTCCACATAGCCACAGCCCCTCTCTCTGCAGCAACTACTTCTTCTCTCTCCAAACCCGCCAGGTCTTAGGTTAACTGCTACTTTTCAGAGCATCTGAGCTCCCCCTGACATTCTCATAGCATCTTGTTCTTTTCCTGCATGATTACTACCGATGCATGCCATCCTTCAGCTGTACACGATCTGTCTCCTCCATTCTCTAAGCCTCCTGTCAATTTTGAACACTAGATTATATCTGGTGCCTGGCACAAAGTAGAATCCCAATTCTCGTATGTTGAGGGAATGGCCAGGAGGCACCTCGGCCTCCATGACTCCACTTTGGTGACAAAGTGATTTCTATAAACTTCATGTGGGAAGCTCCAGACTTTCAGGACTTTACTGCTTTCGGTAAAGACTATAACTTCTTACTCTGGAGTCCCAATGGGTCAGGGGAAGGTGGCCCCAGTTCCACCAGCACCGACATGCCTTTGTGCTAAGTAAAAACTATGGGATTCCAATCAGAATTCACTATAAATAAGCAGAAACCCAGGACAGCAGCCCCTTCAGGGTCCTGAGCCACTCACTGTCTTTCACCCACCACAACCTCCCCACTATAGCCATCCTGTGTCCCCAGGGATCATCATGAAAGCACATTGCAAGGTAGGTGACAGGTGCTGTCCAGACTGCTCTAGAGAGCCCCTCCCTGTAAGCCATCTTCTCTTTAAGGCCCTGGGAAAAAATAGTTCACAGCCTGTAAAACATTGTCCCCAGTCACACTGGGTTAGAGAATGGACTGTGGAATCCCAGGGATAAGATTTTAACTCAAGGGCCACATTTTAAAGACACAGGAGCAAGAGCAAGGAGAAAAAGCAATGTATTCAAGGCACAGGACTAATAAGAGACCGATCCCAGACTGTGGTGAGATTCCACAGCTCCTGGCTCCTGGCTCTGTGCCCCAGCGATGTACCAGATGAGCATCTCCTGTGCTGCAGAACAGAAGGGGAAACACAGAGGAGGAGCTGCGTGTGCATGCTGAGGGGTGGAAGAACAGAAAAGAGAGCCAGGCACAGGGGTG